CTAACTAGATCGTAATGAGCGTGTAATCCCTGGTGAAGGCGTTCGCAAGTGTTGCAAAAACGGGTCGACACCAAGCGAGCTTTGCCTTGATCCTTTTTTCTACTGACTTGCGTTAGAGTTCTTCACCTTTTGCAGTTTCTTAGTTTTTTTTTCAATTGCGCCAACTATCCCGCTGTCCGTTTTCTTCTGTTTCATATATATACCTCGCTATATCAACCTCGCTGGATGCCAAAGGCCACGAAGGTTAAGGTCCATGGTCCAATTACTCTAGGCTATGGATGTCATCATGATGCTTTTGAGCCCTTAACAGCCTTCGGCTTTTGATAAAATCAGCTGGTCAAAGGACCAGGTCACCACATTTTGACATCATCGATTAGCAGGCTAAGGTGAGTCTTGCCCAATCCTACGGAGCGGACATGGTAGCACTCACCGGTCAGGTCGTGCTCGCCGGTGCTGTCCGAACTATGCCGATCATCCATGTTATTCCTCTGCCGTTGCTGATCGCGTCGTAGTTTTATCTGCTTTGCCATCAATGAACGCCGGTCTTCAACGAGTTCGCACTGCAAAGAACCGCACTTAATCACGTTGTTACAGCCTGTCAAGTCGTCTTCACTAAATAATTCTGCAACTCATTAATTCACCTACTAGGAACCATGCAATATTTGATAGCCTTTTCTGACATTACAATAACGAAGCCGTTCAGTGGTGGACGGAGGCATCGATGAGCGAAAAGCTGTTCTCCCATTTTTTGCCTGCTCATAAGGTGGTGGCCCCTCTTATCTTTATGGGATTTTTAAAAAACTGCTCACGATAACGAGTTTCGAGAAGCTGTGCCGCCGCTCACGTTCTTCAACAATGTCTAATAGAGTATTCCAGAGTTCATATGAACACAACGGTCTTACGAGGGCAGCAGAGAGATTTCGTGGAAATTTCGCACATGAACGAGAATGAAAAGAAAACACTGCACCCGTTCGAAAGACCACCAACGACGATGACCTTCAATCGTTTCCACGAAATGGAATGAGCTCATTTTCCAAGGATTTATGAGCAAGCCCCCAGAACCATTTGTCACAAATCAAACTCTAGTGGTTCCCCTACTGCTTCGCAATATTATTGAAAATCGAAGCTTTTTAAATGTAGCGCCTTCGATATTTGCCCGTTTTGGCCTGTAAAATTAGTGATATCCACTGAAACTGCAGTTTATGGCTTTCTTTTTGACACGAAATTGAAAATTAGCAAAATCTCAAAGAAAAGAGAAATGACAAAATTCTAAGAGGTCCTGGTTAACTCGAAGGTTTTTGGTGATCAAATCAAATTAGGGGGAGGGGGGGAGAGGGGGGAGTTGGAGATCAAAAAATGCAACAAATTTGTCTAAGCAATTGGCTAAAGCGAACAAACAGTAATAGGGGATGCAATCATTTCGGACTGTTTTATTTGTTTTACATACCCTGTCGGCCCCCTATGAACCCAACCTGCCTCTAGGAACGCGGTATTCGGCTGAAGTTGCCGAACCTACCAAGCCAGTAGCCGGAGTCGTGATCCCTGCCCACGTCTTGCAGGGCTTGGCCTAGCGGTGGCACTTCTTCTCCTCTTCCGTAATCCCATACCTCCTTACACCCCCAAATCTTTTTTGGGGGGCAAGTAAATCACGCCAATTCCATTATGAGCGTGCTACCGTACTATATACGGGTTATGAAAAATACAACAACATCATTTGAATGAATAAAAAACAAAGAAATAAAGATAAATAAATTATTGATTAGATGGGGCAGAGAACGAAAGGTTGAAAAAAATGACTTGGCTCTGTAATGGACAAATCGGATTAAAGCGGATGTATCCAAGCAGGCATGATAGATAGAGAGATGTCAATCGATTTGCAAAAATCCGAATTTCAACGCTTTCATTGCCATTTCGCAATTCAGCAATGAGTGAATGCAACAGCGATGATGTAACTCGACTGTCCACATCTCAATATCTCATAATCTCACGTATATGCACGGATACGAACCTCAACATTCTCCTATCACCTGGATTTAAGGGTCTCCGGACATCTGTCAACCGTGAGGCTAGGCAATTCAGCGTTTTGTTGTGCTGTCTGGGAGCTCTCACACAAGCGCACTATTACAGAATCTCCGCTTTCTTTACCTCCTTCAAAAGGCTTAGTCCCACTACCACAAAGAACGTCTGCTTTTCCTTCTACACTCTCACCCCCTGGTTGACAGAAGCCTTGTAACCGGATTTAAGCGATACTGCGGTGAAACTCCAGTTCGGGGGGGGCACTCCATTGCTATCTTATCCGTAGTACTAGAGAGCAGTTCTTTGGGCTATCGAACACTACGGATAAGATAATAAGTGAACGACTCATTTCGAGCGTACTTTTGATAAGGACCG